GACCCGTCAGGTGCCACCGGTGGTGACCCGTCAACGACCATCGGTGATCGCCGGTGACCGCCAGCAGCCACCGGTGAGCACCCGTCAACTGCCATCGGTGACCGTCAACGGTCGCCGCGACTGCTAGTGACGGGCAGTGGCCATCTGTGTGGAGGGCAAGGGTCACTGTGACGGATGATCTGTGAGTAGGGTGATGACGTGCCGAGTGTACTGTAGGTGGAAGGTCTAGGGAACATCAGTTTGTAAGAGGGTTTCATACGTATAGTATTTAATGTACGTAGCTTTTATTTCAGTCGCTATGCTTCAGTTCTACGTTATTCAACCTTCGCCTGGAATCCTCACTGGCTGAACTTCACGCTTGCAATCTGGATGAGGCGTAAAGAAAGAAATTGTTTCGTATGATTTCCAACTTTCCTTGGGCTGGCGACATTATGTCAGCAAACAACCACTCCCTACGCAATCTTCACACGCAGCAGTGCTAGACCAGACCTTCTCCTTACGAGGCGCTGTAACTCCCCAGTCTGTGGCCTCCGATGGGAAGCCCAGGCGGACCCACGTGCCGGTTTGCGGGCAGCGACAGGTCCTGCCGGCGTTATGCCGCGTGCGCAGTGTAACGACGTCTGCAACTCGCGCGGAGCGCAACGGCGACTGCTTCCAGACGACACCGAGGCTTTAACGGGGCCCGTCCGTGCGCCGCCTGTCCTGAGGGTAGCCCTCAGGATTGTTTAGGACAAGGGTATCCGAGAAGAGAGGTCGCTCCAAGGAGTCATGGCTACTTCAGCAGTGTGACTGTGACGGTGTGGTGGAGTGCTATGTTGCCAGGGTGTGATGCTGACAGGCCCATCTGCTGTTGTGTCCTCCGCTGGGTGTTCAGTGAGGATGTGCTGTGGGGCGGCGGGTCTGCTGCCGGTTGAAAGTAAGTCTAGGCTGTCTTTGAGACGCTTTGGGCAAGTGGCTGGTCCTGGACGTGTACTGCGCAGACTTCATTAATGAACGACAGCACATGCGAACGGTCCCTGAAGCTGGTCGAGACGTGAAAACACTCGTGTAACGAGACGGCGCTTAAGAGGCGGAGTGGCCTGTGACTGACTCTGGTCAGACTCTGGCTGACTCTGGTCAGAATCTGACGGCACTGCGTGTGACGCAGGCCATGCATTGCGACCCACGTGCTGGTCACGTGCCAGCCCGCCGTGCTGGTCTGGGATGCGCACAGCCGCATGACGGCGCAGTTTCGGCCGCTGGGCCGCGCGGCGGCCGCTCCCCTCTGCTGGGCGTGACGTGACGCTGCTCCGCGGCCCGCCCCCGCCGCGCGGGCCACGCGGCGCCCCCGCCGCGGTGGCATATGGCTCCGTCGTGTGAGGCAGTCCGCTGCCTCTCACGGAGAGGGATGTGGGAAGCCTGGGTGCGGGGCCTCGCCGAGGGCGCAGCGGCGGCGGCGGGGAGTGAGAGCCACGTGCCCCGACCAGCGCGGGGCTCTCCGGAGGGCGGGCGCCGCGCCAAAGCAGCTTTAATGGCCGCCGTCGGCTGGGCCAGCGCTCGGCGTGAGGTCGCCGTGGGAAGGGAAGGGGGAGGAGGGGGGGGGGGGGGGCGGCGTGAGCTTACTGGTGCCAGGCCGGGGTCGGAGGCGGCGAGCAGTTGAGTAGTGCAGTGGCTGTGCGGTGCGTGGATTAGGAGCGGGGAGCCCGCCCTGCGCGGCCTCTTCGGAGCCTCTCGGCTGGTGTGTCCGGGGTGCTTCGGGCTTTGTCGCGCATGACGTGTGGTTTGACGAGGAACAAAAGCTCCGATGGTTTTAGGAGACCGTGTGCGGAATGCCTCGGACTTTGTGATACGTGAGGTGTGGTTTGACGAGGAATAAAAGCTGATTGTTTTGGGACACTGCGTTTTCCCGTTGAAAGTGGTAAGGGTAGTTGGATATTGTGTTGTTTTGCTGGTAATAACCAACTTTCAATGTCACTTGAAGATTAAGGATGGTTACCAACATAAGTAACTAGTTGTACTTGACCACTAACCTTGGCTACATTTTATACGACTACATCTTAGTCGAAAAGTGATCCAAAAGTTCAAGACCGGCTTTCGTTTTACACCATCGCCACGCTGTTCCTGATGCAAACTTGTATTTGAGTTGACTCATCGGTTTTATCCTCTGCAACATCTTTGCCGGACTGAGGCTCATCCAGAAAGCCAATATTTAATTCTCGATTGTGAATGCCAGAATAGAACTGGACACAGTGTTGGTCCAGTGCCGTCGGGTTCAGTCTCAGCAGCTGAGCATCTCCGCGATGTTCATGCTCGTCACCGTGTCCTGTCCCGGCAGGTCAGTATCTCCGAGATGTTGATGCTCGCCGTCGTGTCCAGTCCCGGCATGTGAGTATCTCCGAGATGTTCATACTCGCCGCCGTGTCCAGTCCCGGCATGTGAGTATCTCCGAGATGTTCATACTCGCCGAGAACGGATCAGCTACTTCCTTCACAGAGAGCGGCTGTCGTACTCGCACCTTACACAACGTGTGGATTATTCCTTCGACAAAGTTGTTGATCACGCATTTGCCACCGCCAGGCCATACCAGTAATCGCGGCACCGCAAGCTCCCATGTGGACACTGCTGGGGATTCAGCACTGACGTCATGTGTCCGTTTTTTAAGGTTGGCATACTTATATGCCATTCAAGTAGGCGACTGATTTATACATCTTTATGGCCAGTTTTGATTTCAATGGCCGCGCCTCAAATGGCCATCTACGGCACGCGAACACCAAGTCCGATGTGTTTTTTTTTCTGTTATCACTGGCTTCCATACTGAAGCCCAAGTTCGAACGAATAGGAATTTTGTATTATCAAAAGACAACTGGCCGATGTCGGATTTCAAAGCATTCGAATTATTTGCAGCGCATACGCTGACTTACATCGAAAAGTTCTGACCTCTCAAGGTCATGACCTTCAAGATAACGTTCAAGGTCAAGGGCGAGCAACTCCGAATCCCTCAACCCTGAGTTACCGAACGATTTTATGTTTTCGAACAACCAAACCTTTGGTGGATAGATCAACGTCCACCCTAAAGTTCTTACCTTTCAAGATTAGCTTCAAGGTCAAATTAAAATTAAATGGTGGAAAACTCCGTATCACCCAAAAGTTCCTGGCAGATTTCGAATTTTCCGGAATTATATCTTTCAGTCAGAATCTCTTCAGTGCATAAATATTTGTCCGTCAAGAAGTCCTGACATTTTCAGGCTGGCATGAAGGTCACACTCAAGTTCAAGTGACCGAAAATACCATATCAACAAGCATTTACCGTTTTTCGGACTAAAAGCGTTAGAATCTTCGGCATATAAACTAGCGTCCGTCGAAATGCCCCGACTCAGCAAAATTTAGCTTGAAGCTTAAGGCAATGTTTAATATTTGTATGGATTTTTAACCGGGATAGTCATTTTCAAGAATGCTCCCGGCATTCCCAAGTTTTGTTCTTCTTGAGCATTTCAATTTCCTCGTATCTGAGCTTGCCGCACGCGAACCTGTGCATACTTTTTCGCGCCGCCTATTTTAAAATCACTCCAAGATGCAAGATGTCATAGAGACGCCAGGCGAATTCCACTTTCTCAACTGCCGTGCTGTATACAGTGTCAGTAAAAATCTGGCCATCGACGTGTTTGTGTCTAGATTGCGTCAACACGAATCACCGCATCAATGAACAGCGTTTGGCTGCCAACGAGCTTAACGCGTTAAATGCAGATCTTGATCAGCATTGGGTTATTTGGTTATTTGGACTAGAGCCCTTCAGGCCAGCAATGACCATTTAAGGGCTATGAGATGAAGGAGAATGGATAACGGTAGGGGAAGAACTACATGCGCCTGGGAATCCAGCCGTCGAGACTGGCCGCACAGGGACCCCTCTGCGGGGTGTTTGCTTGGCACTCGAACGGAGGCCCCACTGGGTTGGCACTTCGGCCCATTCGTGGCTGACGCGTGCAGTCTGTTCCAGACATGCGAGGCGTCGCGAGGGTGCAGGATGAAGAAAGGAAGAGGACAAAAGGGCGGATTTTAACAGACATCGCGTTCTGTAATGCGTAATGCAGGCAATTGAACAGTCCTTCTAGTTAAGACAGACATGCGACTGAAAATAGACTGACTTTAGAATAGCACCGTAACCGGGAAGGCGAGTGCATCTTAAAAAAAGTCACGAGGAAAGTATACAAAAGAACACAGCAGCATGCATGTATATATATATATATATATCGCTAAAGTGGCCATTTCGGTACGGCCATTCTGGCAGCGGCAATGACGTCACATAAACGTCCCATGACGCAATCAAACCAAGACGTATTGAGCAGCGCATTTTCAAAAAAGGAAACTCTTGTCATCTAGAGCAGCATGTTGCACTTAAAAAAACATATCAATGGTTGCATGCGAGCTTTTCGCATTATATATGATACTCGTCTCAATACCTTCGAGTGCGGACCATTCCCTTCATGAAAGAACAATGTGAAATGACGGGGAACTCGTTATCACCAAAAAGCTAACGACCTAGTTTTCCCGTTTAGGCATCAGATGCTGACGAATATAGCCTTTTTTGGCCATCGCCAGGCATCGTCGAGAGGAGATACACGGCCTGTTCATTATTCACCACGACAATGCCATGCCTCATCACGCCGCACCTCTGACAGCATCTCCGGCTGACAACATGGAGCTGGTGAACCACCCATATACTTCACGGGTAGTGCCCCAAGTGACTTCTGGCTGCTCCCTAAAATGAAGGTTACCACCGTGGGCGCCGCACGCACCGGGAACTGGCACTGGGATCGGTCATATCCCAGATCAACGAACACACCCCCTGCAAACCCCTGTGAAGTCATAAACCCGCTTTGCATGCAAATATAAACCCCGCGCTTCACAAACACGCTGTGTACTCCGATGATCAGCCCTGACAGCTCAGTCTAAAGCCGACGTTCGCTCACAATTCACATGCTATAGCGGTCTTGCCCACCTCTAAAGTACTCGTCCGGCTCGGGGTGGAGCGAGCGGCGCGCGCGCCGGGCCTCCCAGTCGCAGCTCCCTCGTGCACCGGTGCCAGCGTCAGGCGTCCCCAACAGCAGCTATGGTGGTGAGTCACGCTCCCTGCCGTGAGCCCTGCTGGCAGACCCGGGCCGACTGCAGGTCTGGAGGCCATGGGTTCTGTCAGGGGTCGCGCCGCGGTCCTGGGACGCCGGGTGATAAGATGCGAAATGGGAGAGGCTCGGGCTGGTGCCTGCATTGTGCTGGGGTCGGTGCTTTTTGCACCTGGCGGTAAGTTGAAGTGAGAGCAGGAGCACTGTTCAAGGACTAGGTATCAGTTGGCCAAGCATAATCACCCTGTCTGGTGGCCTTAACATTATTTGAAACGTGTGGCTTTATGGGGACCGCCACGTGTCCCGTAGGTTATGAACCTCTTTGTATCACCGATCTCAGCTGCTTTCCTGTTCAGTCGCTGGTCTCTATAGCATGCGGTGCAGTTGAGCTGCATTGCGCAAGTGCATGATACCGGCTAAGTGCATCTTATCGCTTCACGACGAGTGCACGGTCCGCTGGCGCAGTGCCGGCGTATTTGCTGCCGGTAGATACCGAACGGGTTGCTCTCCTCTCTCAGCTACCGCATCGCCTCTGCAGGCAGTCCTGCTCCTCCTCATCACTTCACCAAGACAGCCAGCTGTGTCATAACACTCTCAGCTGATTCGTTCACCGGCGCACTGTCGGCTGCGGCCGGCTGTCGAGGTGTGCCCCGCCCCTCCGCCGGCTGGTTACGTGCCCCACCCCCCGTGCCGGCCGGCCGGCCAGGCCAGGAATGCAGGCCGGCCCGCCATCGCCGGCTTTTGCGACGGCTCCGGGCGACCGGTGCGTGTGTGGCAGACTGCTCCACAGGTGGCAGCACCGGCGGCGCAGTGCCCACGAACGGAACCGTCGAACTGACATGCATGTGACGTGAAAACATCAACGTCGACGACTCAGGTCGACGTCGACGGAAACGCCAAATTTGCGTGTTTTTTTAATAACACTGGGTAGGGTTGAAAACTCGATACTTACGATCCAGCCCGTGGTGCGTGACAGACCGGTTGATAACTATCAGGAGACGCGTCCAGAGTATGTGAAACTTGGAACTCTAATGAACCACAGTAGCTGCAGACGTTGCAATTTCCCGTTAACCCGTTGGCTTCACCACCGTACTTGGAGTTTCCTGAGCGCCGTGCGAGGCCCGAGCCCATCTGGACGCGTGCTCAGTACCGCGGCCAGCCCTTCCCGACCGGTCAGCAGCTGGGCGTACCACGCAGCTGAGGCCCGCGCGCCGATTCCATCTCATCAAAGTTCGCCGCCGCCCCCTGGTCAAAGTGCGCCGCCGCCGCCCACGTGCCGGCCGACCGCAGCCACCCGGGGCCGCATATTTTACCGAGTCTGGCGCGGCGCCGCGGCGGGGCGCAGGTCGACGACCTTGCATGGCCGCCCTTCCCGCCGCCGACGCGCGAACAGTACGGAAAAAAAAACGCGGGAACGGGGAGGCGGCGGCGGGGCGGCGGGCGTCGGCTACGGCTTTAGAGCTGGGCAAGCGGCCCCAAAGCCGACGTGCGAGGGTGATTTGTTCAAATCACGTGCATATATTGAATATCACCGCATGGATGGGGACGGGGAAAGAGTGTAACAGCACATTTATTGTTCCTTGGGTCCGGGCGAATTCACCGTAGCATAATGGGGTCGACAGTGCCCAACTTAAGACAAACGGTAAAAACGTATTTTTGAACCGATGAACAGTTAATTAAGAAAGCGTTAGGGTATCACTGCAACTGTTTTCGGTTTTCAATGCGCACCTGGCCGTCAAAAGGGGACTGAATTGGCGGACGAATGTTTGGAACGTTGCAGCGTTCCTTGACGACCGCCAAGCTGTGCTCGATCGACTCGGTGTGGCTCCACGGGCTCTGCTCCGTCCAAGCGACCACGCCGTCGGAACTGAACGTGACGGACGCCGCGCCGGTCGCTGCACGCGCGTGCGCCCCCGCGTCCGCGTCCGCCCCCGCGTCCACCTCCACGTCCGCCCTGTGTCCGCCCGCCCTCGCCCCCGCCCCCTCGTCCGCCCCGCGTCCGCCCCCGCTCCCACGAATCCGTGAGGCTGATTCAGGTATGCGTCACCCCGCGGCCCCACCCGTTCCCGGCCGCCTGTCGGTGCCAGGCGGCAGCTGGGCGCCGGCGGCCGCAGATGGTGTGTCGCAAGAGCAACCGTCAGCAACTCAGAGCAGAATTGGCCTCTGTTGCCGTGCAGGGCGAAAGGGCATGACATGCGGAAGGCTTGCCATCTGTGAATCCATATGGTTAGGTGTGATCGGAAACGGCCGATAATGGTCACCGGGGCAATTTGTCAGCAGGGTTCGATGTTGCCAGCTCCAAAAATTGCAAGGTGACCCCACGTAGCAGCCGAGTTGACAGTTTTGAAGATGGTACCTCGATGAGTGGTACCTCGATGGCCAATACATGGTAATTTGATGGATTGGCCTCGAGCAGAGGAACAACGATATGTAACTTAAAACATTCTGGATGTCAGTGTTATCTTCTAGATAGCTCTAAGTTTTTTTTGTGCGGTGGCACCATTCGACGAACTGGCCCGGCACTTGTCGACCCAACCCGTCTGTTCCGGACGATTTACCCTCCGTCCATTGCACGTTAATGCAGCTTTGTAACCGTGGGTGTTCTTCGGGTGTCCTCTCCTCTTACTAGGCGCCCGACCGCGGCGCGCCCCGCAGGCTCGGCGACGAGCAGTGCGCCCGCGCCACGCCTGCCGCGCGAAGCTCCCTGCCACTGCGTGTAACCGGTCCCAGCGTGTTTCCCACGAACTAACGGCCGGCGGTGCCGTGCTGGCAGCGTGCCAATTCCGTGAGGCTGCAGCTGGCTGATGTTAGCCGTGACGTCATATCAAAGACGCCCGGCCACGCCGCGATTGGCCGTCAATCCGGCCAAGTTTGCACAAATTGAGCCGGTCTGCTCACCCGGGTTGAAGGGGAGAGGGAGGGGACAGTGACACGGCCACGTCCGCTACGTACCCTATCCGAGGTTGTGCATCAAAGCGAACTGCCGAGCCGCTAGGATTGTGCCATGACATAGTGTGACCTTTGGGAAAGGACAGCAACAGAGCGCTAGCAAATGAAACTCTTCGGTTAAGCGTGGCACGGATGGTCATGCCTGCATGCATGGGAAGTCGCGGCAGCAGGCCGTAGCTTGACGGCGGGCACTGGTTACATGCGCGCCAATGAAGCAGTTTTGACTGTGCACCCACTGCTCCATGCGGGGGTGGGGTGGGGGGGGGGGGGGGGGGGGGGGGCGCCACCGCTCAGCATGTGCGATGGGTAATTGAGCTGTACCCTCAGATGGGCTGAGTGCTGACGATGCTCACTGACCTCTGTCCCGGCCTCCGTTTGATCGGCAAAGCGGTGAAGTGATTTAAAGTTAAGTTCACCGTAGACGTACTGCATGAATTTCGCCCTTCGTAGAACGCGAGTGAGAACTGTTGTCATTACCGCCGCAATCGTGCATTGATTACAAACGAGCGCCTAAAAAGCAGCCGACAGTGCATCCAAGCCCGACCTCCACAGAACAGCCAGCGGGTCCCCAATGGACTACAACAACCACGCGGCTTAACCAACGATGGGAAACAAACATTGACCGCGTTATATTCCCTGCATATTCGTGGATGCACTCTCACGAATAGCCTCGACAATTATCCGGCAGCAGCGTACTAGAAAAGCATCGTTTGCTCGTGTGAGCCGGTCGTAGCTCCGGCTGTCGCCGTTCATCGGCTCCAGCGTGCCACCCGCTCACTGGCCGCGTGGTGTCTTTCAGTACTCTCCCACCGTGAGGCCCAGCGAGAACTTCAACGCCGAGGAGGATGCTCGAGTCCTCAAGTAAGCGCAGCCTGGCCGGCGCCCGCGTGACGTCACCGGCGCGGATGTGACGTCACCAGACGAGTTTGGGTCGCTACTGCAGGCCCAACGCCTTCAGTTAACCGTACCTATATGAATATAAGCCAATAATGGCGTTTGCGTGAACTGTTTTTGCATTGCTACCAGTGCCCAGCACCTTTTTACACGCGGCGTCATGCACATGCCTTGTTCATGCGCCGTTTCACGTTTATGTCAGCACTTTCACACTGAATTGTCGAGGAAGTGGTTTTCAAGTATTTATGGAAATGAAAGAACCACGTTGAACCGAGTGCCAAAAAGCACCTGCAGATATCACTTGACGGTCATATGTGCTGTACCAGTAGATCTATTTTCACGGTCAAACTGAAGCGCACGCCTAGCTGTGCGGTAAGCATATATATGCCGCACACTACTCTCAAATGACAGCAGCAGCTCACGTGTTCACGCATCAGTGATGAGCCCACGTGTCAGCCAGCGACTCCCGCGGGAGCCACGCTCTCTATCGTGACATGTGTTTGACCTAGCGCCCTGCGACGTTCACAGGGAGGCGATGAAGGGCATGGGCACCGAGGAGGGCCCAATCGTGGACATCCTGGCCAAACGCTGCTTCAAACAGCGCGAGGAAATCACTCAGGCCTACAAACGCGAGTTCGGTCGGGTGCGTACTGATGGCGTCGTGCTACCGCTGGTTCGGGACAGAGCGGAGTCGATATTTCGCGGAGCCCGAGCTGAGGTTTAGGTTTTGCTGAGTGCAAGCGAGTTTGAGGTTTTGCCGAGTCCGAGTTGAGGTTGAGTTTCTGCTGAGTCCGAGCTGAGTTTGGGGTTTTGTTGAGGGCGAGCTGAGTTTGAGATTTTGCCGAGTTCAAGCTGAGTTTGAGATTAATGTGAGTTTGTATGAGTGTGACCGCTTTGTCCGTCTCGCATGTACAACGGCTTGCGTATTCTGAATCCAGAGCCCATGTTTTAGCGCATCATTTTATCCGATTGGTGCTCCTCATGGTGTGCTCGTGATTGCCTGAAGGTGTACAGCGGTGCCATCGGCTTACCGCCATGTTTGGTCTCTGCTCGGCTCGATTAGCGTCGACATGGTCTTGTGGACAGATCACTGTAAGCAATGTTTCCCAGCTTCGTACGGAGCAAAAGATCAGCATGACGATAGGTTCATTTCCCTAAGCGCTTCAGAAACGCCCGTCCGACCGTCAATCCAAACGCCAATCCGACCGTCAATCCGAACGCCAATCCGGCTGTCAATCCGACCGTGAATCCGAACGCCAATCCGACCGTCAATCCGACCATTAATCCGAACGTCAATTCGAACGTCAATCCGAAGGTAGCTCAAATTCGAACACGTTTATAGCACATTTGCCCTAATGAAAGACAAATATTCGATGCTGCAATCCCGACCCAACGCGGTCATTGATCTCCACACAAGGTGCTGCAGGTGCTAGCTGTCTGCTAGCACCTGCATCGGAGGTATTAAACTATTCACCAGTATCCTGATCGTGACGCCCCTGATGCCACAGGACCTGGCCGAGGACCTGCAGAAGGAGCTGGGCGGCGATCTGGAGGACTTGATGATGGGACTGACGTACTCCTACTTCGAGTACCTGTCGCACGAGCTCAAAAAAGCGTTCAAGGGGTTCGGCACCAAGGAGAAGGTCGTGAACGAGATTCTGCTCTCGCGCAACAACTCTGAGCTCCATCTGCTGCAGGAGGTCTACGCCAAGAGTACGTGGGCCCGACACTGCAGAGGGCAGGGCAGGGCAGGGCAGGGGCAGGGCAGGGCAGGGCAGGGCAGGGCAGGGCAGGGCAGGGCGTACCACAGTAAGATGACACAGTCCCATGTGTAAGTAAGACCCATGCACCTTATAGTTTTGCGGCCTGAGCGACGTTTCAGGACGTCAGGCTGTTTGCCGTCGTATCTCTCACGCAGACGGATGTGAGGAACGACGGAACCCTCGGCCGGATGCCACGTTCGAACCAAGCCTCAAACTCGACACGCGGCCGCGACACGCACGCTCTCCCACCTGACACACACACATACCATCCTGATGCTGTTCGTCAATACGTGACCACCTCCGTCAATCTTGTTATCATGCTGTCCTGTGGCATAAGGCTGTTGTGTTCCCGTCGAGTCTGGCTAGCTAGTGTTGATATTTGTCGACGCGGTTGTTACATTTTTGAGACACTGGCTGCCAGAGTCTCCCCAAAGGTCATCGTTATTTGCGTGCTTTCAGGCATGTTCGCAATTTTCTAGCGCTAAATCGCAGCTCTCACGCTCGCTCTTTTGTTGCTGCACCACCCCGTTGTTAATATCACGCACACACGCACATCCGTGAGGGCGCCGCTCCGGCCCGCTATCCGGCGTCCTGGCTCCGCTTCCGCCCGATACATCTGCCCATCTGCCTTACAGCGTGCCACAGCTCGCTGGAGGAGGACATCAGGGAGGACATGAAGGGCGACCTGGAGAAGCTGCTGGTGGCTCTGCTGAGCGGCAGCAGGAACGAAGTCAGCGATGCCGATTCCGACAAGGCCAAGGTGCAGGCGCAAGACTTGTACAACGCCGGTGAGTGCTCAGTGGGTGGTTTCAGCGACGACCAGTGTCTGTGACAATGGTGGCTTCCTTGATTCAGCGCCGTCTGTCGTGCGTCTGAAAGGTTTGAAGGTGGAAACTTGAATTCTGAAACTTTATTAAGAAATCCAAATGCGTGAGTAAAATGCAAGCTTTGTTCCCATGTGGCTCTCAAATTACAAATCGGATGCGCACAAGATGTGCGGCACATCAAAACATCCACCACTAATTCGAGGACCCCACCGGGCGCTGATTTCCGTGTTTCCTGATTGACATCCACTGCTGAAATGCGCTAATTTATTTCTTTTGGTCTTTCGTGCCGGAATATGACTGCGGCACCCAGAAACGTTCCAAGAGCCCACAAAAAGATCCCAAGATCCACTCAACATGGAACGCTATACGATTCTGGATCCGCTCTTGTGACCCAGGCGCATGTCTGGTAGCAACCCTCTCCGATGACAGAGCCTCTGGCATTTTCTGTGCCGCGCAGGTGAACAAAAGCTCGGCACGAACGAGGCCGTGTTCCGCCAGCTCTTCTCCCACGAGAGTCTGCCGCAGCTGCTGGCCATCGCCGAAGAGTACGAGAATATCTCCAAAAAGTGAGGGAATATCTCCAAAAAATGTTTTGATAGCATCACGCCGTTGGTTAATATGTTGATTGGAGCCGAGGGCGTGCGCCAGACATCAGTACATGAGTTTTATGAATGATATGATGTTTTCGCCGCAAATTGTAACGTAGTACAACAGAGCGCCCGTGACTCTGTGAGCGCCCGTCACTGCGTGAGCGCTCGTGACTGTGTGCGCTCCCGTGACTGCGCAAGCGCCCGTGACTGCGTGAGCGCTCGTGTCTGCGTGAGCGTCCGTGACCGTGTGACCGCGTGAACGCCCGTAACCGACCCCGGCACCCTCGGCAGGACCCTGAAGGAGGCTATTGAGTCTGAGCTCGGCGGCGGCTTCCAGCAGGCCCTCCTCATCATCCGTGAGTCCTAGCCTGGCCGGGACTCCGGTTCTTGTTCTAGTCGTAGCCAAGAGCCGCGTGGCAGAGCAACGGCTCAGATGGCGCGACGATGGCCGAAACGCCAGACGCCGTTCGTCGTGAACCAAGTTACTGAACAGGGAGCAACTCTTCCATCATGTTGATGCTGAAATTGCATCACACCCACTCAGAGTTGAAACGTTTCTATAGTGCCAGAGTGTTCGAACATTGGCCTGGCGCAAAGGCAACTCTCGTTAATTCCGGCCGCCTCTTTCAGTGGAGGTGGCCAAGGACAAGATCCAGTTCTACTCGGACATCCTGTACAACAGCATGCAAGGCGCCGGCACGGACGACAAGACCCTCATCCGTATCGTGCTGTCCCGAAGCGAACTGGACCTGGGCGACATCAAGGCCAAGTACCTGAACACGTACGGCAAGACACTGGATCATTCGATCGAGGTGAGCTGGGATTCCATTCCATTCGATCCCGTGACGGGAGGGTTCCATCAGGGTGAGCAGGGAAGTACTGGAGCAGGTCCATCGACGTGAACAGGGGAGGACACTGGACCACTCCATCGGAGTGATCAGGGGAGGACACTGGACCGCTCGATGAACGTGGTGAGGGGGGACACCGGACCACTCCATCGGCGTGGTGAGGGGAGGACACCGGACCACTCCATCAACGTGGTGAGGGGAGGACACTGGGCCACTCCATCGACGTGGTGAGGGGAGGACACTGGACCACTATCGACGTGAGTAGGGGAGGACACTAGACCACTCCATCGGAGTGGTCACGGGACGACACTGGACCACTCGATGAACGTGGTGAGGGGGGGGGACACTGGACCACTCTATCGACGTGGTGGGGGAGGACACCGGACCACTCCATCGACGTGGTGAGGGGAGGACACTGGACCACTCCATCGACGTGGTGAGGGGAGGAAACTGGACCACTTTATCGACGTGAGTAAGGGAGGACACTGGACCACTTTATCGACGTGAGTAGGGGAGGACACCGGACCACTTTATCGACGTGAGTAGGGGAGAATACTAGACCATTCCATCGAAGTGAGCAGGGAAGGACACTGGAGCACTCAATGGACGTGGCAAGGGGAAGACAATGGAGCAGTCGACCGAAGTGGGCGGCGGAGAACATCGGAACAGTTCGTCGATATGAGCGGATTGGAACACTAGGCACAAGCAGTCTATTGAGATAGGCGGGAAGGACACTGAAACACTGTCTACTGAGGTGAGCAGGCCAGGACACTGTCGCGGCTTGTTGAGGTGAGACAGGTGCGTCAGTCGACGGCTCCGGTGAGGTGAGCAGGACAGGACACTAGCGGTTTGTCGGGGTGAGACAGGTGCGTCAGTCGACTGCTCCGGTGAGGTGAGCAAAACAAGACACTGGATCACTCCACGAACATTGATTTGTGAGGACACCCTCCCGTCCGTCGAGATGCGTTGGGTGCGCTTTTGATCCGGGCGTAGCTTCGTCTATGGCCTATGGCTATGACAGGTCTATGGCGTCCACCACGGTTGTCATGGTGACCGTCTGATTATTGTGGTGGAACTGCCCTAAAACCACTGCCATGTCAACTGGTCGTTGTGCCGGTAGATGGCGTTTAAGTACAGACGAATAATCCCCTGAATGAAAATGCCACACATCTCGTGGTTTCGTTGTGTTGCCTCTTGGACCCGCCCATTCAGACATCGGACCAGGTTGTGTATTCGCTGCCGCTGTTTTCATCCGCGTCCGTGTGCTTACAGCGGGAGACGTCGGGTCCCTACAAGGAGGCACTGGTGCAGCTGGTGCGCGGATGAGCCGCCTCCGGCCCCCCAGCGGCCTGCCAGGGGCGCGTCCTCCACCACCCTACGGCCGGTGACGTCACACCTGCCCCGTACTGCCAGCGGACAAAGCCGAGTGACGTCACTTCTCCCTGTTCGGATTCACATCGGCATTGTGCTTCACGAAGCTTGCTTTAAACCGATCAACCGTAGTGCATTGAAAAAGACGCGGCAGAAGATGACCAGCGTCACTTTTCGTTCAGATGTTAACTGGGTAGGGGATGTCGCCACCCCAGCGGCGGCGGGGTATTTGGGGAGAGCTCTACCGATACTGCGTCTTGCAGAGCCCCGCCACTTTTCCTCGTCCGGCTCGGCCTACCTTGCGAATCTCTGGGATGGGGCGGCCCGGCAGGGGCAGTTCCACGGCGTCCCACTATGGTTGTCATGGTGACCTGTGACGTCATTGAAACGCGGCCCGCGGAGTGGCTGGCGACCGCCCGTCTTGCCTCCGGCGCCTGCTGGTACTCAATACAGTCGGGCGATTGGGACGACCGGAGTGTGATGGTGTGGTGCTCGCGCCAATCCTTACAAACGGACATGCGACGTCCTCCATGATGTGAACTTGCTTTAACATCCAGGTTGAAGCTTCGGAATGTTACGGAAGAAGTTAGTTTCTTCCTGCTGGCTTTATATTCTCTCCTTCGCAGGGAGGAGTCGCAAGGTTCCACACAAACGGAGGAGCTAAAATGTATTGTAATTGCACGCCATTTCGAATACTTCCAGAGTATCAGAAACGGGCGGCCAGCTCTACACCACCTCACCGCTACCCCGGCAATGACACGAGACTATCACCCAGGTCATCACGGGCGCGTACTGTAGGTGCACAAAGAAAGGATACAAAACAAGCGCTACAATTACGCCACAGTATTTTTCGGAAGCACGCATACTGCATCTTATGAACGCTGATGACAAAAGCAGCATAGTAAGATTTAAGAATATTTGTTCACTGGATGCGCTCAGGTATGTGTTGTTAGCCAACTGAGTAACGATCTCCTGATCGAACGCGATGAACCAAGTACTATACGCACACGATGCTCCATAAAGGAAACGAAATAGTAACCAGGACGCGTTGCTTTAAAAAAATCGCACTGACGTGGTGAAAGACAGCGAAGGAGCACATGATCAAAACAGCAGTGGAAAGTAAGGACAACGAAAAACAAACGTCTCCACACGACAGCGAACATCAGCTTCCCGACCCATGCATGCCACAGACAGACATGTACGAACGTCAAGCGGCCCGACGCCTGGTCGCCCAGCCCTTCCGTTTACATTAGCAGGTCTTGCGTCCCCGACCATCTGAGCGGTAGTCGGGCCCAGCGACTGCTCGGTACGGCCCCCGTCCTCGTCCCGTCGCTTCACTATCGGTCGGATGGACCCGCCCGCGGCCAGCCGTCGGTCGGATGGACCCGCCCGCGGCCAGCCGTCGGTCAGATAGACCCGCCCGCGGCCAGCCGTCGGTCAGATGGACCCGCCCCGCGGCCAGCTGTCGGTCAGATGGACCCGCCCGCGGCCAGCCGTCGGTCGGATGGACCCGCCCGCGGCCGGCCGTCGGTCGGATGGACCCGCCCGCGGCCAGCCGTCGGTCGGATGGACCCGCCCGCGGCCAGCCGTCGGTCGGATGGACCCGCCCGCGGCCAGCCGTCGGTGAGGTGAACCCGCCCCGCGGCTCTGCCGCCGGCTGCTAGCGGCGCACCGTGGACAACCCACACACGAGCTGCTCTCCATCGCCTGGTGCTCCGTGCTGCAGGAGTCCATCCGACCCCGGAGTCCAGTCACGGGACCGCTGAGGCGGCCGACATGGGAACAGTCCGCCAGCACCCGCCCGCTGCGTCCACCGCAGCCGAGCGACTTCAGCGGACCGTCCAGCCGGCTTCAGAGACGGCGGGGCCGGCCGGGTCCAGCCAGGGTCCGCCGGGGTCACGCGAGGTCGACTGAACCCAGCTGAGGGCATCCGCGGTCAGCTGGGGTCAGGCGGGCCGGCCGACCAAGCCTCAGTGGCGCCGCCTCTTGGGTCGCCGGATGAGCGCGGCCAGCTGGCGGCGCACCTCGTCGGCGCGCTCCTGGAACTCGGCCGCCCGCTGCTCGCAAAGCATCCGCTGCAACGGCGGCCGTCGCGTCAGCGACGACCTCTGCCGAGGCGCGACCAGGCCGGCGACGCGGCCGGCGCCGCCGACCAATGCCGAACACGCGCCCTTTGACACGGCAAATGACATGCGTGGATGTGATAGCGTTTGAAAGTTGAAAGGAAGCACGTAAGTGCGAGTAACGCAGCGGTACACGTCCGCTGACGTGCCACGCTTGACGCGTGAGCGTATTGTCGATTGCGGAAGGCGGCACACACTGGAACCTCGCCATTGCGTGCATCTCAGTACTATTCCGCACATGAGAGGTGGACAACTCACAACAGCTTACAGGAGACGGAGGGACGGGGCACACGAGAAGCCATGCAAGCTGCTAAATCAAGGTATACGCGCCAAACCGCATCGACCCGGTCCTACGGCCACCCTATGGAAGTGAATGGTACAAAAAATACCTCCGCTGTCCTGTGCTGATGCAAAGCACAAGATGTCCCCCCCCCCTCCCCCCCAGTCACTGACTCGTAACTGCGTCCTTTGGCGGGTGCTGGGCCCGTGCCCGGCTTTCACTTAACGCCACAGAAAACCATAGAAACGCCGGGAAAATGTTACGAACAAAGCAACGAGCCACCGAAAATCAGGTCAGATTTCAACGAAATCCAATGTTTTTTATTCTTCCGTACGACAACAAAGCAATCCTCGCTAGCCCACGCGACGCGCCTGCCGCCTGGCGGCCAGCTGTACCGCGCAGCGGCACCACCGGCGGCCCGCACCGCAGTCCGGCCGGGCGTTCGCCATCAGAGGGACAGACAACGACAGACTCAACTCACCAGCCGCTCCGTCTGCTGGAAGTTGATGAGTTTCACGATCTCGGCCTTGGTCAGCTCCGAGGCGGGCTTGCCCAGCTTGGCGAAGGCGCACTTCTTGGTGTGGTACCGCGCCCCCCTGCACGCCCGGGGGCGACGGTCACGCCGCGGTCACGAGGGGAGGGGGGGGGGGGGGGGGTAGAGTACCGGTGGTGTATGCCATTTGAGCTTTACGACGCCCTCAGCTGGTGGGGTTATGTGGCGTCGACTGCCTCTCAACCGGGTCGGTGGCGTTACAGTTAAACCGCGCACCTGGGAAACCAGAGGTACGGGGTTTGATTCCCCGCGGTGCCCACCCTTCCTACCACGGTGAGAGGCATGCGACGTCGTTAAGCGTCAGCAGCTGAGTGCATCGTGAATCCTCAATGCCAACACCACGAGCGGACGGCTCTGTAGTGATAGAGGGGATAAAGGCGCGTGGTACCAAGAGCAGCGTGCGATCAGAGTCCAGGGTGAGCAAAGACAGCAGTCACAAGGTCCCAGCAAGGAGCAGCAGGGAGAGAGGATGGCAGTTACAGGCCACTCGTGCCCACGCAGCATGACAATAAGATACGACAATGGTGAGCAAACTGCACATCGCAGCTTAATAACATGCAAAGCCCACTCAGCAGACACTGAATGGGCTTTGCCATCCCTACTCCATCCACAAGTCCTTACATTCAGGCTCCAGGCATTTGCTCAGGGTACAAAAAAGCAGTTGAAGTGGTCACAAACAAATCATTTTTAGGGTCTTTCTACCACAATACTTTTTCAGGCAAGACACTGCGTCCCTCAACAGGGTCCCTACGCCAGTGCAGCTCATGGGGCACTGCATGGGCAGCAGGTCCCAGGTGGTGCCATTGCCAGCCACCTACATGGGGTTGTCCTCAGCCTCCCAGCCTTCCATCTCCTTGAAGCAGACGAAGCAGCGCGTGAGGTCCGGCTCGTCGTCGCCGCCGCAATGGAAGAAGCCGCTCTCCGCCATCTGTTGCCAGGTCAGCAGTTGGTGTCAGTGCCACTCGCAGGTGCTGGGGCATGGGGGTGCTTCTTGGGGGTGAATTTGGTCAACACAGGGGGTTGGGGATAGCAATACAGGTAGGAATGCATTCTGTGTGGGTGTTAACTAATGCCACACTTACTCAACTGGATAAACACATTAACAGAATGAAGCAAATCTCAGGATTCTAGTTCCGACAAGAGGTGGATAGAGCACATGAATGCAGCAAAAGTTACCCTGTGCAATAACAAAGCTATGTTCCTGCTGTAAAAGCTGTGGTATGTGCTCCTATAACCAGATTGGCATGGTTCTATCTCTGCATAGCATTGTTGGATGACCATTGTTGGTGCCAGGGGCTCAGACTCTGCATTCACTTGTCAGCAAAAACATGACAGCCAACACACACTAACTTGATTATCTTTGGAAGGAGTTTGATGTTAACACCTTGCGGAACTGTAGACAGCACAACACATGTTCAAACAGAAAATGTCAGTCATGATAACATTCAATATGCCAGTGTGCGGGGACAACATTCCATAAGCATGACAATGTGACTACGCACTGAACAGCTTTCTTCTATCATCTGATATTGCTAACATCCTCCTTTGCATGCATAGCTGGTAAAACATATCCTAAGGTGACACAAAAAAGATTATGTGTGACCTCATGTCACATACCTTCTTTATTGTGCACACACATCCTGGTTCATCCTCTATGGGCCACCACTTGTAGCTTTTGATTCTACTCTCCACTCTGTTCATATCAAGCTCCATCTTGATTGCACTACAGTAACTCCTGGAAACAGCAGACAAACATATTGGCGAAGTATAATAACATTTTTTTCATTGTCCCATGTCTAGTCAGAACATGGGGTGATGTGCAAGTCCTCAAAATAGAAGTGCATTCTACATTTGCTCCCAATGTCACACACTGACATGAAAAGTGGCTAAGCAACAAAATAAAGCAATTGTGTCTACCTTGCTACTATTATTTGTACACAAATTTGCAGACAGAATAAAACTGGCCATGCTTCAAGCAAAGAACACAACACTTTATAGCTTTCACCAACTTCTTTTATCATTACATACCACCCAAAAATTGGAAAAATGCAAGTTTTGATGGGAGACAATAATTTAAGCCTTTTACACTTGAATGGAACATTGACTTGACTGGTTCTAAGAAATGGTGAAGCAAGGCAAAACCTACAACACTGCAGCAGCAACATGCAAGATAATAGCTGTGAGGCATAAAAGGGCATGAGGTGAAACTCATGCCTCAACTGAGTTGAAACACACACTCACAATGAGCCTGATATTAACTCCTAAATAGTAATGCATATATCAAGGATCTCCCAATAGGATACAATAACAAACATGATATGAAACCAAGAGAGCTTGCACTCTTTCTAAAATAGGACTAGGAAGGGTACACCAATGATACTGAAGATACTTCTCCCAAGGCACATAGGTGAAGAGCAAGCTCCCAATTGAAACAATTAAAGGCAGCTCCCAACACAATTTTAAATCTCAACCTCTAAACTAGAGGCAAAATGGGTTTGGCACTTGAACTGGCCTGTGGCCTATACCTATGCGGTCTCAATCTTGTTGCCAAATGCCACGCGCCCAACAACCAAAAGCCCAACTCCTACCCAGAGGATCTGCTTTCCCAGTCATCCCATCCATTCAGGGACAATCTGCAAATTTTGATCGCACAAACGTCTCCAATTCTGGTCAAAGACACACCCATCTTATTTACAACATCAAAATCGATTTCGTTGCTCGATTGACTGCATCGAGACGCCGCACTTAAGTGCATAGAGCTACCTTCGCAAGAGACGTCTCCAATTCCAGGCTAAACACGCTTACCATTTACCTCTAAAAAAGATTAAGCCACTCGCTTGGCAGCATTAAGGTTCCGCACTCACAACTTAAGAGCTACCGTCGAATTCAATAGCGTGCATACAGCTTACCGGTCACAATCAAGGGCACCCAACGCTACACAAAACGCAATGCACGGAAACCCCGCAAAATAAACGCAAATCTGCCGCCCTTAGCAGAATCTGGCAGCTGACTGTCTGTTTGAAGACGATTAACACCATATGAAGGAACACCTTTACCGAAGGACAGCATCAAAAAGTACTTCAAAGAGCTGGGCCGGCCCAAAACGACCAGTATCTCGAACGGCACAGTATGCAAAAGTCGTTGAGCCAAGCGAAGACGTGCAAGACACGAGTTGCATGCATGTAATTGCGTTAGGAGTGAAAGAAGCATCTTTTAAAATGGTCTTTAAGCTAAATCTTGTTTTATTTTAACACTGCCACATTGTGTTGTGCTGTGTTGTGGTGTGCTGTCATTCACTCTGTTGTCTCTGTTTTGATCTGCTCTGCCATCTCTAAACCCTGCCATGTGCACTTAAAATCTATCCTATACGACAAACTACATCTTAACTTATGCGGCCCTCAGCCCACTTAGCCCATAACCCTTCCCTTACCCTCCTCTTCCTGTTGCTTCCTGCCCTATGCCTTCATCTACTCCCTTGGCTTGTGCCACTATTTCCTGCCCTGTCCTATCCTGCTGTCTCCTGTCCTGCGCTCTTCTACCCTGTGCATTTCCGCCCTGCCCCACCTGCTGATCTGTCCTAGCCTGTTTCGTACTGTTCTGTTGCCTCCTGCCCCCTCGCCCCCCCCCCCCCCGTCTTCTGCCCTGCCATGCCAAGCCCAGTTGTGGGGGACCCTTTATGGAGGCTAGGGAGGGCCGCTGTAACTTGCCCGTTTCGTGATTGTACTGCCGCCATGCTAAATGTTGCCCAGATTTGGCAGGGGGTGACTGCACACTGCCCCCCTCCCCCAAATCTGCTGACCAAAGCCCCAGCCCCCGCCCAGCCTCCGTGACAGCCCCAGCCCCAGTCGGAAATAAACAGCTCTTTTTCCTTCTTTTTTTGGTTGGCCAATGCAAGGTCCGTTTTTCCCTCGACGGACCTGGAGTCACTTTCGGGGGGCGGGGGAGGGACAACTACTCCCGGCTTAAGCTACCTCGTGACCGGCGATGTATCGGGTTACGCGTCGGCTTAACATGGCATGTATGAGCAACTTTGCGGTCACCTGTTGTTATTATCGCTCAGGCCGGGTATGACATTTGGGAACATTGGACTGGCCTCAGTTTAGATCTCACGAGCGGTATGTTTTGTATTACAATAATTAACTCCACCATGCGAGGTCCAAGGACAATTTTACCGAAAGCTGACAGCCAATCAGCTTTACACGCCGATAATTGCGAAACCATGCACTACAGGTGATATGAACCTTGACACGCGCCCGGGTAGCCGGCTGAATATCCTCCGCTCCGGCGAGGTCAATTTCAACCCCCTGAGGTCTCAAAAACTACGATCGTTTGAGATACTACACTCACAGAGTGAATTAACCTATACGTGAACTCACCTGTGTCAGAATTTGGGGTTCCTTAATAATTACCTTGGGGTCAAACAGGGCCGAACAAAGTTAAACTTCATATTGGTGTCACAGGTGCCCCAGACCTCCCCATACAACCGCCGTGAAGCTGAATGTCTGTTCTAAGCAAAAGGCCCGTAAGGTCGGTGACCTTGTTAAACTTTATAAGGCTAAGATGACCAAATATCTGCGGGATTGCTCCTATTTTGCCGTTCGAATAAGCGTCAGGGAGTAGGCTGGACGATATGCTCCTGAAAACAAAATGTTGACCTGGGTCATCTCAGTGACCTACTCTGGCCTTTCACAAGTCCATGGAGTATGCATGTTGCGGTCCCTGTTATTGATAAATTCGAAATAAGCACCAGAAACTGCCTATAAAACCAGGCACTTGAGCAAAAAAAGCCAATCAGTCGCGACCCCAGTCTGACCTTCATCCCCGATCTAAGATCAACAGAATGGGCTGTAATTAGAAATTCGATTGGCTTATTGTCCAAGGAACTTGTTCATATAGGTATGGTTTCGTCAAATACTTCGTCGTTACACCACATAGAACGATTCCCTCGAAACGTCCTTCGCCGACATCGGCACGGCTTACCTTTGGCCATAGGTCAGCGACCTTAAAGAGTGCATCTTATTTTTACATCAAAAGATCCGCTATTCAATTTTCTACAGCTACAGAAAGTTAAGCATGGTTACGCCGCGCCGTTCGAAAAGCATCCTCGTGGGGGCCAATTTGGCCCCCCACCCCCACCCGAGCGCGTGTCAAACGAGCGTGCTCATTGTTGAAGTTGAACGAGAGCATTGACATGTGGTCGTGTGTGTGCTTGATGATGGAGGGTACGGAGCGCTACGGGTGCCGGAAGTAGAGCAGTGTAACCCCCGCCGCCCGCTGTCGACAGACTCGTCGGTTGCTCACCACCGTCCGCGCCGGAATAAATTGTCGTGCTGCGTTTTAACGTCTCTACTCAGAGACCAAAGTGCTTAAGACACGTTTCGACGTGCGAACACGTGCACTCAATGCCCCAAAGGCTGCGACAATTTTGGCGCGAGTGCAAGACATGTCAGCAATATATTGGCAAACAATCTTAGGGGCTCACATCGCTCCCTTCCCTGAAAGGGGGATGATTAAGTCGCCGAAATGGGTAGAACAGACCATTTACGTATCGCCGTGCCATGCTTCTGAGGTCCAGAAGCGTTGCCATAAGGCTTGTTGCAGTCGTTGCCTGCAACCTAACAATGGCCTGGCCGTACGTGCGTACCTGTATGCTCTTACGCATCAACTATGAGTTCACACACTGTTGCTTCATGTTCAACTCACAAGGGCTGACTAAAACGAAACGACTCTGGGAAGGACGCAGTGGGTATAATGCACCTGTCGTCGAACAAGCATCTATCAGCTATTGTAGTCCATTCTCGTGAACATGACACCATCGCTGATATCGTGGTCACGTGCGGGAAACTCACAAAACCACGCACCTGTCTCATCGTGCGTGAGCGTTGCCATTCCCGATCGAACGGAGTTGGGCCCAGCACAGAGTTGCTCAGACTTGGAGCTGATCAGCAAACCCTGGTCTCTGTACATGCACTTCCGTTCAACAGACCTCTCCAACGTTTCCGCACAGAAGTCTGCTCTGACATGACGCGCCACGATCCAACACGAGAGACCACGCATAGCCAACTATCCCCAAATGTTGCCACAACGTAAGCAAAGCGAACAAAACGAAGCGTCGTCCCTGTGCGTGCCTTGCTGAGGCCGAACACAGGTGCTCCCTCTGCGTGAACCCCATTATTTTTGTGCACGTCCTGACTGTCGTTGCACGGATCGTTACGTAATAACGCGTGCCTAAGGTTGTAATCAGGTCGTAAAGACATCAGCAGCGTATTCCGAACGCGGGCATTACGCGTCCTACTGGAACTGGTTCATAACCTCTGACAACTTATTGATCTTCGCAGAACCACAGCAAATCAGTGCCTCACAAAACATAGATACTTAATGCGCAGCATGTATTGTCTGTTGCATGATATCACTAGTACACATTATATTACCAACGCTTCGCATTAACTGCGATGCTTTAAGCACGTAATGAACACTTGCACATCTTGTGTTGTACTCTACCGTTTGCCGCGCGTCATCGCGAGGCATTTCTTTAGTAGCATATCGCGAAACGATGTAGACGAAATATGGTGAGTTGTGAAATGGTCAGTAGGATACGGTGACGCACGCCAGCGATAAAGGGAGGCACACACTCATCATACCCACTGCAGTTTGAGCATGTTCCTCGATGCGTGCCTGTTCTCGGCCGCTGTAGGGGAGGGCGCTGCGCGCGGGCCCTGGACTCTCCGCCCGGCTGGCCCGGAGAATGCACGCCGCTGTCTGCAGACGCTGGGAGCGGCGGAGAACGATTCGAAACAGTGATGGCCAGTGGCACCATTGTCCGATGCTGGGTGCGCGGCTGCTAAGCCGGGTGGATTTGATGGAATCCTTGGAATAGTTGGCCGAAGGTGTCCTATAGCGGACGACACGAGTTCGCAGGGATGTTAGGGAAACGAGCTGGATTTAGGGATACGACCTGAATTCGATTAGCGGGACATGTACGGCTCTGCCCGTTGACGAGGACTTTGCACCAGTCGAAGCAGGTATGATGTTATTTCTGCTGAGGGAGTCCGCAGAGTTTTTGAGGGACGAAGTCCCCTCAGAAGTCAAAACTGATTAGTTAGCGACTTTCGGAACACCAGACCTGACTCCTGCAGCGGAAGACATGGTATACCACTCATCGATAGGACGACTGGGGTTGAGGAAAATAAAACCTTGTAAGGGCACGGAATGTTTATGACATAGCTACCCGGTGGCAATACGATGCTTTGGGGAATACTGGGAGGACCTGACGTGCCCTCTGTCTTTGTGTTGGTGTCTGTTGCCTTCATTCGGTCGTCCCCACGGTCGTCCGAGTGCCTTTCCACCTCCTTCGTCACTGCGTTTGGTCGCTCGGTCGTGGCAGCTCCCTCCGACCGGTGGCTGGCAGCTGGTCCAGTCACGGCAGTCGCGCTCGCCAGCGCTGCCACGCTCGCGTCCGAGCCAGCTCCGTCGACACCACTCCCCCGGTCCTCCAGCACGGCGGGGGGCGCCTGCGCGACAGCGGCGGATGCGGCGGGGGACGCCGGTGATGCGCCGCCGGCCGCCGACTCCTCCGCCGCAGCGGCCGACGCGACCTGGCCTTCAGCGAGGGGCACACTGACCGAGAAATTCAGTGGTGGAACCTCGGATCCGTCCACTGAATCGCGCGACCGGGTGCTTGGCTCGCTGCCAGATCCATCCGGCGAATCAGCGACAATTGTCTCCAGCAAGTCTTCGCCGGACACGGCCATTGGATTGTCACCAGATCCGCCTTCTGATCCGGGGTCAGACCCTTCCCGTAATTCTTCGACAGATTTATGAAGTGGATTACTGCCAGATCCATGTAGCGATTGGTCGTCGGATCTATGCAACAACTCGCTGTTAGATCCATTCATTGGCCGACCATTGAACTCACTCAATGAATCGTTGACAAATCCCACCAACGAGGCATTGGCAGAACCAACCAGCAATTCACTGGCATAAACAGCCAGCAGGT